ACATTATTTGTGAATTTTCCCAAATCGCCAACTTTAAATTGCCAACCTCATTGGTACTTTCTTAAAAAATAAACGTATAAGGAATCATGAAAAAGCATAAATATATATTTTTAAATCTTTCAATAACAATGCTAACATGTAAAGACTGTTTTAAAATGTTCATTAAATTACTAAATTTATAAAAAGCTAAAATATTTAAATATTGTGAAAACAGCATGATTATAATATTGTCAAACATTTGCATCAATCTCCATGAAACAAATGTTATCACACCCTGAATGTACTAAAATTATCTTGGCCTAGTTATAAGGAGCTGCACTATCAACATAAAGGCACACCGTTCGAATCCACTTGCTCAGTGGGAGAAAGGTGGACAATCTACTCCTATGCTCTTTATTGTCTATGAACACCTGCTGGGTTATTAGTCAGTTCTTACGCTAGGGTGCATAACATAAGCAGTAAGTAGACTTAGAAGCTCTGGTGACCTAGTCCATCAATATGCTACTAAGCTAAAAGAAGCACCTCTCTTGGAGTTCTAATCTACCCAAAGTTAGTTCTAAACTACTGGAAGGTCTGAAGGTACCAACAGCTCCACAAGAGAAAGATGAACAACCTCTTCCTGAGCAATTTACAGCCTCAGAAAAACAATGGAGTGTCAGCTATGCAACAAGGCAATGAGTCTGAGATTTTTTTTTTATAAGTACCTCAGTGACTGGGGTAATCGAGATGGGTGTGTCAGAGGCAATGCGATTGGCACAGGATAGAGCAGGGTTTAGGGCTGTCATACATAGGGTTGCTATGAGTCACAAACGATGGCACATAACAACAACAACAATTTAAAATTCATAACTACATAACCATATTTTAGTTCACATCACTACATAACTAATTAATAAAGTGCTTAATGTTAACTCAGTATAAAATCAATAATCTGTTGGTGTTGTCGCCCTCCAACTCAACAAACATAAAAAAAGTTAAATAACTTGTACGAAATACTAAAACCAATTATTGCCTGAAATAGGATTTGATTTATGTCTTGTAGATTCCTTAGGAGTTTAACAATTAAAATCTTTTCATTAACATAAGTGAAAAAAAACAAAGCAAAGCAGTTTAAAAAGGTTACTGCCCACTTGGTTTACTAGCAATTTCATGTGTATTAGAGGAAAACTACACTCTATTGGGTTTTCAACGGCTGACTTTTCCAAAGCAGATTGCCAGATGTTTCTTCTAAGACACTTCAGTTATCCTTGAACTTTTAGTGTTCAGATTAGCAATCTAGTGCATTATCTGTTTTCAACAACTGAGGACCACAACACAGTAATATAAAAGATGTAGTTGTTATTATTGTTGTGTATCTTTGAATCAAATCACGTAAACCAAATTGACCTTTATTTGTAACTCTTATTGTCTAAGATTCAAATTCAACTAAACATATTGTTTTTAAGTCTGAACAAACTCAGCTGATCCTCCAGTAGATATTCACAGCCTGCAAACCACATGGGAGAGATTGCTAATCTTTTTTCCCCCCCATGGAGCATCTCATAGATTTGAACTGGCCACCGTTGTACTGGCAGCTTCCCTGCTTAAGACCACATTTTAATTTAGTAAAGACTAAGGTAGAGATCTGAGGTGGCCAAGTGAACTTCAAACCCACAACAGTTCAAATCTACCTGGTACTCCATTGGAAAAACATAAGTAATTTCCAAAAAAGGTTCATAAAGATTTGGAGAGTTGCTGTACATACCAATCGCCTAGACAATGGATTTAAAGGTTTGAAGTTTGAGCAAAAGTCTTAGTGGCACAGTCGTTCGAGTACGTGGCTACTAACAGAAAGGTCATTTGGTTGAGCTCATCAGCTACTTTTCGGGAGAAAGATGTGACAGTCATCACTAATAAAGATTTACAGCCTTAGAAACTCCATCAAACAGTTCTCTGTCTTGTAGAGTCGCTATAAGTTGGAATCAACTTAATAGAAGTTAATTGGTTTTAAACAAGAGAGGGGGAGACTTACTCCCTATGGATGGACCACTTGGATGATAAGGCAAATCATGGAAATTATGTGAGCTTTTTCTTTTCTATACTTGTTATGCATCAGAGAGTTGGATAATGACCAAGGAGGATAGAAGGAGAATTGATGACTTTGAGCTGTGGTGCGGGAGAAGAGTATTGAGAATACCATGGACTGCTAGGAAAACAAACAGATATGTCCTGGAAAGGGTTAAACCGGTTGGCTCCTTGGAGGCAAGGATTCTGAGGCTCAGTCTAACAAATTTTGGAAATGTTGTGAGGAGAGACAGGTCCTTGGAGAAGGACATCATGCTTGGGAGGGTGGAGGGACAGCGCAGGAGGGGAAGGCCCTCTATGAGGTGGATTGATTCAGTGACTGGGATAATTGGGATGGGAGTGTCAGAGACAGTGTGATTGGCACAGGACAGAGCAGAGTTTAGGGCTGTTGTACATAGGGTCGCTATGAGTCGCAAGCGACTCGACGGCACATAACAACAACAACAACAACATACTGGTTTTGTGTTTGTTTTTTTGTGAAGTTGTAAGATTGACTTATGTATTGTAATATGAATGCTATGAATACATACCAAAGGGCTCTACTTTGTGAATATATACTTTCACAATTCTCAATTTAACTGTTTGCTATTGATGTTATGTGCCATCAATTTGCCTAAGACTCACAGTCTCAGTGTCCTATGTATAATAGTTCTGAAGTGTGTTCTATCTTAAGCCAATCTCACTGACTCCAACACATCTCCCCATTATCCTAGTTAACAAGAACAAACCATCTCATGATGTGGATTAAACTGTTTACTTAATTTAATATTTGTTTGAGGTCTCAGTAAAAGGAGAGACTTCTTGTCTTGGCATGCATGATACTGGTTTCTGTATCCTTAATTGTAGATTCAAGTTTGCACGTCTGCTCTTCAACCATGGTCATGAAGAAGATAGCCTGGGAACAAGGGCCTTGGCCACTTGTTAAAACTACCAGACAAGGAATAGGCTTTTGGGTCATAAATTTCATAATTAGTTTATGTTAGATATCGGCTTTTATGGCCATACAACTTAGATTACTTGACACTCTGCATATCACTTCATAGATTCCCCAAATTTTCTTACCATGGTTGTGTCCTTTTTTTTTACTCCTACAATAATACATTCGTAGATCAATTTCCTGTAACTTCATATTGTTATTGCTATGTGCCATTGAGTGAAATACAACTCACAACAAACCTATGAACTACAGATCAGAAGCCTGTCCTATCTTGTGCCATCCTCATCATTCGTGGCATACTTGAGCCCAGTGCTGTAGTCATTGTGTCAACTCATCTCATTAAGGGTCTTTATCTCACTGACCACCCACTTCTGCAAGTGCGATTTCCATTCCCAAGGAATTCTCCTAACAACATGCCCAAAGTGTGTGAGACGAAGCTTCACTACCCTTGCCTCTATGGAACACTCTGGTATACTTTCTTTAAGACATGTGTGTTTGTTCTTTTTGGTAGTCCATGGGATACTCAATACTCTCTTCTAACACTAGAGCTCAAAAGCATCAATTCTTCTCCTGTCATCTTTATTCATTATCCAGCTTTCACACGTCTGCTGTTATTTTTGTGTGTCATGGAGGTGGAATCTACCTGTAACTGATACTCCAGCAGACTTCAAGAGGAAATAAATAGCGGAGGGGGAGATAGTCTATTTTCCTTCCATGAAGCAGCTGGTAGATTTGAACTGCTTACCTTTGGAATTATAACACAGCTTCTTACTACTTGGCCACTAGAGCTTCCTAGCAAGTGATTAAAAAAACCATAGCCTGAATAAGAACTTCATATATGTAGAACTTTTTAAAAAAGGATTATTTTGGAGACTTTCTCTGTTTAATAATTTTATATTTTTTTTAAAAAGTAGATTATATTTTAGGGCATTATGTTTATCATAAGAGTACGGAATGAGGGTTGCAGAGTGGATTGTATTTGGGGTGGGGGTAGGGTTGAGGGGTGTGCGGAGGGGATTGTGTACCAACGAAGGAGTTTTTCTTTTGCTTTTCAAGGAGAGGAACAAACGGGGGGTGGGAGGGGGGCAGGGAGAAAGGTGCAACAATGAATGAATGGAATTCCAAAATCTCTGTAGATGTTCACTGAAATTAAAAAAAAGTAGAAAAGCGGGACTAACATAGAGGTATTTTTTTAACCTTATGCGTTATGTCAAAATAAAAAAGAAAACAAAACAACCAAACCCCTCACACTCATGGCCACTGATTCATAGCTGACAATCCAGCATGTTTTTGAGATGCTGTCAGTCACAGAGGAGATTTCCTTCTTCCTCCAACAGAGTCACTGGTAAGTTCAAACCACTAGAAAGGCTTCACCTTTCAACTGGAAGCACGACTGTGTATGAACTAGGACACCAGAGCAGCTTTGACATCATGTGTGCGCCTATTAATTTCAATTGCCATTTTGGTTTTGAGTCTATCACCTCTGTATTACTGAGGTAAATGTTTAGAGTCAGACCTTGAGATAAAGTCTCCTTTGGTGCATTGATTTCTGTGGAGTGTAATGATCTTTAAAAAGCAAAGTCACTGGAAAGGAAAAAAAAAACATATTCAAGAAACCCCAACTTATCAGTATCATATCTATTACAATTTATGGCAACTCAAATCACAGCAAATTATGCCTGATAAAGTTTTCAATGGACTAGTTTTGAACTTAGATCATCAAAACATTCTTCTAAGATACTTCTGAGAGGAATCAAATCAATGACTGTTAGGTTGTAAGGATGGATTATTCATTTGCGATACCCTGGGACTCCCTAGAAAAGAAAATTAGAGACCAGTTAATCTATATATCAATATTTTGGTGCAAAAACCCAAAATAGCAAAAATATTATTAGAGAGAAAAAAAGCAGTGTTTCTTTGTATGTGATCTCAATATGCCTTTGTCATTGATTCTAATAAATGGTACTTTTTTCCCCACCGGCAGATTTTGTGCAAACAAATGGATGAAGATAATTTTACAGTTGTTACTGAGTTTATTCTTTTGGGACTGACAGACCAGGCTGAAATGAAAATTGTCCTTTTTGGGTTGTTCCTGGTGATCTATGCTATTACCGTTGTGGGCAATCTAGGTATGGTCTTCTTGATTTACATCACTCCCAAGCTCCACACACCCATGTATTTTTTCCTCAGTTGCCTCTCCTTTGTAGATGCCTGCTATTCAACTGCCATTGCACCCAAAATGCTGGTGAACCTCTTGGTTGTGAAGGGAGCTATTTCTTTTCCTGCTTGCATGGTGCAACATTTGTGTTTTGGGGTGTTCGTTACCACAGAAGGCTTCCTGCTTTCAGTCATGGCCTATGACCGTTACGTGGCCATTGTGAACCCTTTGCTCTACACTGTCACCATGTCAAGGAGAAAGTGTGTAGGGTTGGTCACTGGGTCATGGATATGTGGAACAATTAATTCTTTAATACACACAATCAGCTTGGGAAGACTGTTCTTTTGTGGCCCAAATGTTGTCAGTCACTTTTTCTGTGATATCCCCTCACTGCTAAAGCTGTCGTGTTCTGATACCTCCATGAATGAGCTGTTGTTGTTAACCTTCTCTGGGGTCATCGCCATGGCCACATTCTTGATCGTAATCATTTCCTATCTGTTCATTGTGGTTGCTATTCTGAGGATCCGCTCAGCAGCAGGGAGACGGAAAGCCTTCTCAACCTGTGCTTCCCACCTGACAGCTGTGACCATCTTTTATGGTACCTTAAGTTTTAGTTACATTCAGCCAAGTTCTCAGTATTCTGTAGAACAGGAGAAAGTCGTTGCCGTGTTCTATACATTAGTGATTCCCATGTTAAACCCATTGATTTATAGTCTGAGAAATAAAGAAGTAAAGGACGCTGTGAAAAAGGCCATGGAGATGAAACATTTTCCCTGTTGATTTTTCCTATTGAGCTCACAATGATCTACCACTCAGCTATCAATTATTTACATTTGTAGTAATTTGATGAATGCACGGAAAATCTCTTAAAGTTTATACAGAACGTTTTATTCAGCTGTGAGTTGGTTCATAACTTCTGGGAGTTATTCTGTATATTTTCAATTCATATGGCAATTCCAAGTTATTGATTCTTCTTTAATCATCTTTAGTCATTGGCTGATGTTCCCAAGGACTGCAACTGTCAGTCTGGATTGAAGCTCAATATCAAGAAAACAAAGATTCTCGCCACTGGGATAATTGGCAGCATGATGATAAATGGTGAAGAGATATTGAGATTGTTAACAGCTTTAGTTTGCTTGGCTCCACAATCAAGACTCTTGGTATCATCTGCCAGGAAACTAAAAGGTGAATTACATTGGGGAAGTCTGCTGTCAGAGACCTCTCCAAAGTACTGAAGAGCAATGGTGTCTCTCTGGAGACTAAGGCGTGTCTGATACAGACCATGGTCTTTGCAATCTCTTGCTATGCATCAGAGAGCTGGACAATGACTAGGGATGATAGAAGGAGAAGTGATGCCTTTGAGCTATGGTGCTGGAGAAGAGTATTGAATATACTATGGACTGTTAAGAGAACAAACAGGTTCATCCTGGAGAGGGTGAAGCCAGGCTGCTCTATGGAGGCAAGAATTCTGAGGCTTTGACATACTTTGGGCATGTTGCAAGGAGGGACCAGTCCTTGGAGAGGGATGTCATGCTTGGGAGAGTTGAAGGACAGCGTAGGAGAGGAAGATCCTGGATGAGATGGATTGATTCAGTGAGTGGGATAATGGTGGTAGATATATCAGAGACAATAAGATTGGCACAGGATAAAGTAGGGTATAATGTTGTTGGACATAGGGTTACTATGAGTTGCAGGGAACTAGATGGAACAGACAACAACAATGATGTTCATAGATTGAAAATGTGATGGCTCAGATCAGACACACCTCAGTCTTTAAACTGTCATCATTGCTCTTTAGTATTTTGAAAAAGTTCTTAACAACAGATTTTCCCAGTACAAATCGTCATTTAATTTCTTAACTGTTGCTACCAGAGGTGCTGATTATGGGACAACTTAAAACATTTTCCCATCTGTTGCTTCTTTGTGTGGTGGTGAGGATTTCTGTTTTATTAATGTTGAAGTAAAATTCATAATGAAGTCTGTAATCTTTGATCTTCCTCTGTAAGTGCTGCAAGTCTTCTTCACTTTCTGCAAACAATAAATCATGTTGAGAATAATGAATGCATTTTATTCGGTCATTATCAAGTATGATGCCAACTTTAGATTCATATAGATTATACTATATGGTTGCACAATAGATTATTTTGTAGTGCTAACCAAAAGATTGTCATGTGATTCTGACCACCACTCCAGAAAAAAAACAAGAGCGTCTCTTTCTGTAAATATTTATAGCCTCAGGTTATCATGTGTCGGAACTGACACAGGTTTCATTTTTGGTGAAACTTCTAGCCCTTGATTCCTGAGAACTTGATTTCTTCTTGTTCTTTTTTTTCCCCAACTTGAATGGTTGTTAAATTTTGACAACCATTTGTGATCAACCAAGATGATCATATACTTCCTCTTTCTTTATTATGTTGATATTGCAAATTGTGTTTTAAATGTTGGATTAGCCAGCCTAGTATTTGCAAATGAATCTCCTTTGGTCATGCTGTTTTTACCCTTGTTATATACTGAATTCATCCTAGAGAGGGTTAAATGGGGCTGCTCCTTGGAGGCAAGGATTCTGAGGCTTCCTCTGACATACTTTGGTCATGTTTTAAGGAGAGATGGTCCTTAGTCCTTAGAGAAGGCCATCATGCTTGGGAGAGTGGAGGGTAGGCGCAGGAGGGGAAGGACCTCTGGGAGGTGTATTGATTCCGGGACTGGGGCAATCAGGATGGGAATGTCAGAGACAGTGCAATTGGTACAGGACAGAGCAGAGATTAGAGCTGTTGTACATAGGGTCGCTAGGAGTCACAAGCAACTTGATGACACATAACAACAACAACAATATACGGAATTAATTGAAAAACATTTTCAAGAATTGTGGCATAACACTGGTATCTAGTCTTCATTTCTACTAATGTCCTTGATGGTCTTCTGGGTTTAGTGTTTTGGGAATTACAGACTCAAAAAATGAATTTCGAAGCAATTCTTCCTCAATTTCTCAAAGAAATTGTTTAAAATATTTTTTAGTTTGTTTCTTTAAAAAATGTTAATTAAATTTTTCAATGACGCCACTCCAGACCAATGTACTCTGGTAGACCACTGGAAAAGGGCTGCTCTGCCAATCTAAAGACACATAATTTCAATCCACTAGTTTCATTGACTATGAAAAGGCATTTGACTGTGTGGGTCATAACAAACTGTGGCTGACTCTGAGAAGAATGGGAATCCCAGAACATTTGATCGTGCTAATGTGAAACCTATACTTGGACCAGGAGGTAGCCGTCAGGACAGAGCAAGGGAACACTGCATGGTTCAAAATTGGGAAGGATGTATGCCAGGGACACATCCTATTTCCATATCTTTTCAACCTGTATGCAGAACAGATTATCTGGGAGGCTGGGCTCTATGAAGAGAAATGTGGGGTCAAGACTGGTGGACGATTTATCAACAATCTGCGTTATGCAGATGACACAACCCTGCTTGCTGAAACTGAGGAGGACCTGAAACACCTGCTG